ACCGGGCCTCACCTTCCAACTTCTGGTCTAACGTAACTGCCCGCAAGGTCAGGGAAGGTGAGGGTGCCTTAGGATGTAAGGTAGGTAGGTACCTTAGGTGACTGTTGAGAGCCTAAGGCACCTTGAGGGTTGTTGCAGCACGATGCATCGCAGCAGTCGCAAGGGCCTCGTCTCTCCTCTCCTCTCCTCTCCTCAGTCAACCTCAGGTCAACCTCACAGAAGGCGCGGAGAGCGTTGGTCTGGTCCAACGGTGGAGCCTCGCATGAATCACGTCCCCGGTGGACATGCGTGACGTCGCGAATCCTGCAGCGGTCGCGGGCTTGGTCGGGTTTGGCGCGCAACGACGACGCGAAACGCGTTGCCATGAATCAACGATGCCGATGGGTAGCAAACCTCGACGTCTCGAGACTCGGCCTCGAGTGAGGTGAGGTGCTGGTGAGGTCAGGGTAAGGCCATGTACCCGACCCGCGATTCTGTGAGTCGAGGTACATCCGCGGAGAGGCCTCTCACTCTTTTTCTTCCGTTTGAAGCCCGGAGTCGAGAGGCCCAAACAAGCACCAATCCATGGCCCATGGCACACCGACAAAGCAGAGAGGCTTCGGAGAGGGTCTTCACCTGCTGACGATGGGCCGCGCTGTATGCGGCCATGAAGCACAGTGGAGCTGAGGGCTCACGCGTCTCTTCAGGATGAGTGGCTGGTCGGTGTTGACATTCCTGCTTGGGCATCATCGGCGCCGCTGGAAACGCTTCCGGATGTTATTTCCCAGCCACCGACTTTTTTTTTCGCGGATTTTTCTTCTGTCTCCTCCTTGGAGTGCTCCGTAACCTGCTGCAGCCCCTCCGCGTTTCTGTTGGATGTCAGAATTGACTTTGGCTGTCGGCCAGGGCGTCCGAGAAATAGGCGAACGGTGGCTGTTTTGCTCCAGGGATGTGGCTGAGATGTCGTCTGAGAGTGCGAGCATCATCCTGACTTATATCAGACGAGGTTGGCCAATTGCGCTTTGTTCTACGGCGCATCGAGAAGCGAAATGGGGGGCTTTGGGACGGGGGAAAAATTCACAGGCGGCAGTCATGGCTGTTGAGGAGATCGATCGGATCGGGAGCATTGCCGTCTTGTGGGATTTCTCATGTTGGGCTGGCCGGATGATCTAGGGAATAAGTGACGATACCACTCTAGATGGGGACTCGTCATGCGATATCTCTGTCGCTCCGGATACCTTCAAGGTTATCCGGTTCGGCCATGGCGAAGTGCACATTGATGCCGTGTTAGTTCGCCCTGCCCTGCCTTGCCTTGTTGCTTTACTCGGTTGCAATCACACCGGCATCTTCAAGCATGGCAGCTGAATGGTAGAGCATCAATGTCATCTCAGGTCATTTAGTTCGCTTGAGACCAAAATAAGATGGGTAGGCAAGGGAGGTTCGATGCTACCACTGCCACATCCAGTCTGATGAGCTGAAGTAAGCATTCAAGTCCCTTCATGAGTCCACGGCCAGTACCTTGGCTCGCTCGCCCTGTAACCAAAGAGCCCATGTGCGTGTGGTCGCCTCCATGAAGCGCTGAGCAATAGGAGCAAACGGACGAGAAACAGTGGCTGATTAGTGGATGCAGGAGCAGGAGCAGGAGCAGGAGGGCTGCACTGGGCTCTGGGCTCTCCTCGGGTCACGTCTTGTGGGAGATAATGGGACAATTCTCTCTCCTGGTCTCGGGCTTTAGGTATCAATGGCAGCCGGGACTAGGACGAGCCTATCGCGGAAGAGAGCGGTCGTCGGTGCCCAACCTACTGGAGCTTGCAGGTGTTGTTGTCTCTCGTCCAGTGGATTGGGTCAGCAGGGACTCGAAGCTCACCACTCAGAGCTCACCTCTTATTTTTGCATCTTTCCTTCCGTTTTTGGTCATCACAACGGCTTCAGCCCATCCACTCTGCACCTTCGCACCTTTTTGGGGCAGGTACAACGGTACGTCATTCTCGCCCCACCGTCTGCCGTCCACTTTCTACCGTTTGTCGTCCATTCAGGCAGAAAGTGGCTCTCTCGTGTTGCTCCACCGACTCCTGCCTGCTGCATCGTCGTCGTCGTCGTCGTCTTCGTCTGGGTCGATTCAACGGTTGCTGCTGCACTGCAAACAATAACGGTGCAGGTGCAGGTACGGATGGGGCCTGGGACCTGGATGCCTTGCGTCCTTAGCGGAAACGGCGCCCATTTCTTTCACCATTCCAGCCCTCTGCGCACCCAATCGCCGGACCGGACGGCCGATGGCCCAAGCTGCCTGCCCTGCGAGCCAACCCCCACCGTCTGTGACCGTGGCCGTGACTGAGGTGTGACCGCCATTCCATTTTCAAACCGGCTGTTTGCTTGGTGTTTCCCCCCCCCTCCGTCTTTTTTTTTTTCTTTCCTTCTCGGAAAAATTCTTTTTGTTCTTCCCTCTATTGGCCCCCCGGGCTCACGGCCGAGCCGTCGCCTCCATAATCTCCATCTATCACGGTCTTTTCTCTCCCTTGACTGACCCGCCCGTCTCTTGCCTGTCTTCCGGCAGTATCCCCGTCGAGCTAGAACCGGCGCATCGAAGGTCAAGACCCAAGGGCCCAGAACCCAGAATCTCTTGTCATCCTCGTCCTCTCTGACCTCATTCGCCCGGCGACCTCTGTCGTCTCCAGCGGCCCTGGACTGACACACGCATACCCGGCCACAATCCCCCAACTGAGAGCCACAAGACCGAGAGAGCGCACAGAGAATCCAGTCGGAGCACATCGGCTGGGCGTGGGGTTGGGTATCGCTTTGGCGATTTACGGTTTATCCCATCTACAGAGTACCTTTCCATGCCATCCCGTCCGTATCTCGAAGCCTCAGACCTCGATTCCCAACACAGGTACCAAGTGTTGCCGACCTCGCCTGGTTCTACCCTGCCTCTCCCGCGGCCGCGTTTCCAATCCCACATGGCCGTCATGATGGGATCACATAGCACAAGCCCCGAACCTCATTCTTAGCCTCTCTTCAGACCTTAGGTACCTTGCCCTACCTTAGCCTGCTGGCCAGTACCTTAGCTCATCCCCATGTCCTCTTCTCGGGTACCAAGGCAAGAAAAAAAAAAGAAGGACCGCCACAGACGAAGTCTATCGAGTTGATAGAGTCCGTGGGGAGAGTTCAAGGCGGTCTAAAGCCAAACAGACAACCCCTGCTCAGTCTTCCTCATTTGTCTTGTCCGTGTCTCGTTCCAAGAAAACCATTCTAACGTATTGTGCCGGCCGTCAGTCTGTGCTTGTCAGCCATCAAGCCGGCCACACTGCATACACTTCTATGGCTAAATCAAACCATCATGACAAGATACTGCCAGGATTCCGGGAATATGCCGCGGTCTCGCGAGGGAGAGATGCCGGGCAAGAAAAACAAAGTCGTCGTAGACGAGGCACGGTCACGGACCCGGGATCCAGGGAAGCAGGGAATGAGACGAGTTTCGGCTTCTTGGCATCATGATCTCTATCTCTTCTGTCTGACCAAGTCTCTCCCACTTGCTCCTACGGACACAGATACGGTCTCTGATGTTTCCTGAGAAGTCTCGTTCGCTCGCTGCACACCCACCCCAGTCGTCTTGTCGGCCACCCTCCACAAGTGACAACCACCACCACCACCACCACCACCCACACAGCACCGCAAATCCCACCCGCCGTCTGGTCCTCCGTTCTGCTGCTACTGCTGCCGCTGTCGCTGCCGCTGCCGCTGCTCGCCGTAAAGAGCTCTGGCCCCATCGTCTCGATTCCCCATCCCGGCTCGGTCGCGCGTTCGTCCCTCTTGTTCTTGACTTTTCCCCACTAAACGCTACCATCTGCTCTCTCTCTCTGTGAGGTAAGGTATCTCAGTATCCAGATCCTTGCCCAGGATTGGGACCCGGACCAGCCTGACCTACCTTACACCATCCATCCGCAACTCTACCCTCCCCTCCTCATCCATGCCCACCGTATTCTTCTCGAAGCCAAGCAAAGTACCTCCCCCCGGCCACCGTTTATGACCAAGTACCTCGTCCCCGGTCTCCCGCAGAAGTGCCACCTTTCCAGTCAAAGGTACAAAACCATCTGCCCTCCTCTCCCAGCTCTACCTTGCCTGCCATCAACCCAAGACCCCAAGACCCAAAGACCACAAGAACGAGATCCATCCCACACCACAAACTCACACAACTGCGTCCGCCGTACATACCTACATACATATACATACTTTCCGGCACCCCATCTTTCGACGATTCCCTCGTTGTTGCAACACACACACAACTGTTTATTGTTGTCCCATCGTCCATCCTTCTTCAGACCTGCCTCACCTCACATATCGGCCTGCCGACTCTCACAACACACACTCAACACTCACACTCACACACACAAACGCACATACATACTCAGGCCTTCCCCGCCCTGTGTCTGACTGAACCTGCTCTTCAACTTGCCACAAGATCTGGAGTGCATCGCAACACCGTACTACTCGAAACAAGAATCGAGTCCCGAGCCTGTGAGTATGGGTGTTTTCTCTTCCGTCCTTTAGACTACTCTCCTCCTACTGCACGCACTGCTGCCATAAAACTTTCCGGCCTCCTCCCACCCGCTTCTCTTCCTGATCCCCACCAGCCTCTCTTATCACTCCCTCACTCCGCTCACCCGCTCCCACCTCTTTTCTTTTTGCTCTTTTTTCTCGTCCTCACTCCAGCAGCGAACTTGCTCTGCGATTTCACAAAAGCCCCCTTCTCGCTATTTCTCCAGCATTTTGCATGCATCCTTTTCACATCAGACTTGCTGCACACAGCCTGAGTGCATCCCCTCACCTGCGAGTCTCCCGGAATCCGCAGCATTGTCTCCACATCTCACTCAACCCAAAAATAAACCCTGGATGATCATCCTCACCGCCGCCGCCTACGACTAACACATCTTCCAAGATTTTTTTGGAAAAAATCATAGGCAACATTTTGCTCGCATAGCAGCATTTCGCAGTCATCACCAGACTGCCCATCACAAACACCAGAAATGGTCTCAACGTACCAGATGCCGAATTACTTCAGACCGACACCTTTGACCGTGGACACAAGTCAGGCGCAAAAGTACTACGAAGAGGAGGATCACAGCATTCTGGACGAGAACATCTTGGATCACAGCGCCCTCGACTCAGGTTTGGAAATGTCGCCCCCCATGGCCGGCAGCCGGAGGGAGTCTTTTGCCGTTGGCTCTTCTCTCTTCTCGCCCAAGACGGAAGAATGGCAATCAGTCGACATGCAGTCGGTGCCCTCCAACAACCCGTTCATCGAGCAGCACAGCAACAACCCCTTCATGCAACCCTCTCCTTTTGGACACCAGGGCAACGCCTGGTCCTTGAGCAACACCTCCGGCTCTTGCACTCCTCTGCAACAGTTCGACGGTATGCCGGCGGAATATGACAACAGCGGCATGTTCCAAAGACCCGTCCAAGGCCAAACGCCCTTCACCAACCCTACCGGTCAGATCAACATGTTCGCTCCCATCGGCTCAGGCAACCAGTCCATCCCTACCTCACCACAGAAGGGCTGGATCGGCCAGGCAGAGTCCATGGCCAAGAAGATGCGCCCGGGAAGCCCTACCATCCGCTCGCATAACGACATGAGGAGAGGTGACGGCATTCGCAAGAAGAACGCCCGCTTCGACATCCCCGCCGAGCGCAACCTCAGCAACATCGACCACCTCATTGCCCAGTCCACCGATGAGCAGGAGATCAAGGAGCTCAAGCAGCAGAAGCGCCTGTTGAGGAATCGGCAAGCAGCGTGAGTACAGTCATCCATCCCGAGTATCTTCCATCCACTAACATGTATACAGGCTCGACTCTCGCCAGAGGAAAAAGCAGCACACTGAGCGCCTCGAGGACGAGAAGAAGCAGTTCACTGCCGTCCTCACCGACATGGAGGAGGAGCTCGCCGACATGAGGAAACAAATGGAGCAGCTCATGAGGGAGAAGCAGTCCTACCAGGAGTATGTCGAGTCCCTCACGATGGAGAAGGAGGAGATGATCCGCACCCACACCATCGAGACGGGCGAACTCCGCAAGAAGGTCAGCGTCCTCACCGACCACGTCCAGCGTCTGGAGAGCGCCGCCATGACGGCCCCTCCCAACAACGGCTTCGTCTCCGGCTTCGACGACATAGAGGGCATGACCATGCCCGGCACCTGGGACAACGTCAACTTCCTCGGCGAGTACCCCATGGAGGCCGAGGTCAAGCAAGAGCTCCAGGTCGTCCCGACCAAGAAGACAGAGGTTCCCTTCCCCGTCGACTCCGAGAAGTCCTCTTCCCAGGGCGGCATCCTCTTCATGCTCTTCCTCGTCGGCGCCTTCGTCCTCTCCAGCCGCTCTACCCCCGCCATTCCCCGCGTCTCCGACGACGTCCGCGCCGAAGCAGCCACTCTCCTCCAGAACGTCTTCAAGGATGCCGGCGTCAACGAGGCTTCCAACACCCTCAACGCCCTCGCTCCCCAGCCTTCCGGCGGCTCCTGGGTCGACCAACCCGTCGTCGGCCTCGGCGATGCCCAGATGTCCGGCGTGGCTCCTTCCATGCTCGGCCACCTCGGTGACTCGCTCACCCAGCCCACCGAGGAGCAAGCTAACGAGCAACTCTTCGGCCTCTCCGCCGCCCAGTACAACGGCGTCAACTCCCAAGACTTCCTCCACAACGCCCCCGACCGCTCCACCACGAGCCAGGGACGGAAGAACCTCGCCGACGCCCTCGCCGCGATGCGCAACTCCAAGCAGTCCGCCGCCGACGTCTACACTAGATCGCTACTTTGGGACCAGATCCCCAGCGAAGTAGTCAGGAATTTTGCCAAAATGGTGTCCGAAACCAACAGCGCCAAGATCGGCGCTGACGAATAACGATTCAAACGCGAACACACAAAAAAAAAATGAAGAAGAAAGAGGTCACGATCCCATGATCAACATTGAACGAAACTCAACTCTGGCGCAAAAACATTTTACCTTCATCTGGAAACCTTTATCTTGTCTCTTTTGGTCTCCGAAGCTACTCTCATCATCATCATACACTTCTTTACCGCTCCCGCGGGACCCCCCAGACATTGTTGCTCACGCACCAAACAAATCCTATCGAAAGCCTCTTCGGACATAACTTTTATCTGCTTTTTCCTTTTTTTCTGTATTTTCTTTTGTGTTTATGTGTGTGTATTTCGGGATGACTCTTTCCTGTCTACCCCCCTTGGTATCTCTAGCAAGCAAGCGAGCGAGCATTTGGATTTTTCGTGTGTAGTCTGGTATCAGTTTGTTGTTTTCCACATATCGAGTTCTGCTGCTTTTGCCCAGTGCGGGATGAGGCGATGCGATAAAAACTTCGAATGGGTTTAGGGTAGCGGGTGGTGGTGGAAGGGACACCGGACGGACGGGCACAACGGGACGGCCGCACATTGTGTACACTGGGATGGATGGGGTGGTTGGGTTTTTGGTGGGCAAGGGCATGGGAAGGGACTTCATTCGGAGGAAGAACAGGTCTCACGAGACTGGCGGGGGCGGTGGTGTTTGCTTTTTTTTTTTTCCTTGATTGATTTATTTGGCATTTCTTTTGTTTTGATTTCTTATGAAAGCGTTGCTGCAAACTGTAACGAAGGGGGAGGAAGAGATTGGAAAGAAACGTCTCACGACGTTTTTTTTGTTTTTTAACGCGACAAACATGACAGTCGAAACGAAACCCTGATGATGCATGGGAAATATGAAGAATCAAACGAAACGAAACCAGTTACTACTTTTTCTTCGAAACGCACTTTTTACTTTGTTTGAACCACACACACATACACACATACCTTGATACGAAACAACAGTTCACCCCTCGCCCCAGCACTGCGAGAGAAAGGGAAAGACATTGGAAAGGGAATACGGTGGGACGGACAGACGAACAGGCTGTTTTCCCACCGCTTTTTTCATGTTTACTTTGGAAAAGGGATCCCAGATCAAACAACAACCTTGGAAGAGAGGTGTTTATGGGGTTTCCTACTTTCTATTCATGTAGCTACTTCTGCGCAAAACACAAAAGAATTAACTTGCTCGATTACACACACACACGCAAAAGATACCATGACATTTTCTCTCCGTACAACAGTCTTTGCGATTTTGAATAGTGTGCATCTGACCGCGAGTAAACCTGATCTCTCCAGACGGCGAGAATAATCTGGTTGGTTATTGATTGATACGGCCAGTCAAGAAGTCTAAAAAAGCATATCAAAGGTCATCCGGGGTCAGGTTGATCGTTGATCCGGATCCGCGCTCAGCGCCGGGGTAGGTAGGTCACTCAGAGCAGAGAAGGGGATAACGGGGACGGTATTAAGACGATGATCTGCTGCTGCTGCCGTGGTCATTTACACACCCATTAACGGGCGTGTTATCGCTGGAGAAGAAGGAGGGAGGGAGGGGGGAGGCGAAAAAACGGACGACGACTAAACTTGAAAGCAGGAAATACTGCCAGGTTTCTTTCGGGGGGACCATCGCAAATGCGAACGTCTTATTGGCGTCCGACGGGGGAAACGGTTTGGCGATTACGGTGGCCGCGTCACTCCCTCCCCCTCCCAAAGAACGTCGCGAGGCGTATGTAATCCTCGATATGGGATTTCTCGCCTCGATGGGAAGGTCCATTCCGTTGACTGACAAGTCCCGGGAGTGGCACCCGGTTGAGAGAGAGCCAAAGTCTGGGTTCTCGATAGGCTCTATCTACTTCAGCTAACCTTGGTGTGTCACTATGGCATTGGGAAGTAAAACGGATGGGAGCTGCGGCATTAGCGCGGTGTCGCCCCGGAGGTTCGGGGTAGGTAGGTATGTCGTCTGGATTGGTTGATAATGGGATTGTTCGACTGGCCGCGTGAGATGGGCGCAGGTAGGCTGGACTGGGCATGCGGATGGCAATAGTGGTGGTGGTGGGAGGGGGGTGGAGGGAGGGAAGATAGATAGATCTAAGGTTGTGTGTCTCTTTTTTTGGTGTTTTACGGTAGGTACCGCGGGGCGATCTTGAATGGGATTGTTTCTTCGCGCCCTTTGTTTTTTTTCGTTTCATACGGGACGGAACAGACTAAGGGATTTGTTTCGCGCGGTTGAAGAAAGCAAGCCACGCCCGCCCCAGGTCAATCCCGACGGTTCTGTCTAAGTCATGGGAGGAGGCTGGTTGTGGGATTCCGTCTACATTGTCTGTGGGTGGATGGACGGCGTGTGTAGCCAGCCCGACGTTTAGATCAGTCCGAGGGAGGAGGATCCTTTGCGCTAACCGGGCTGGGGATTTTGAAAGATGTCATCCGGCCTCTTCTTGCCTTGCAGACGAGCTGATGCAAGTCTTTCGTTCGGCTTCGGGTCCATGAGGTCAGATAATCTCTGAATAGATCTTTTTTTATTGGCGCTAAATAGTGAGGCGCGTTGGGAACGAGTGGAAGCTAGGTGTTCTTCCTAACTCGCAAATCTGATATCACTGCAGACCAGCTCCAAGCGGGAAATGGGAAGATGTGGTGAGACGGGAAGGAGTAGGCGATGAAAGATTGATAACTGGTTGAACGGCAGGTGGTGTAAGACGGCAGCTAATTCCCCATCTTAGGCAGACGTATTGAGCTGAGGAAAGCAGGGGCAGAGAAGGGTTGCTGTTGTGTCTGAGACATTTGGGGATGGCGCATGCTTGGGTCTTTGCTCACGGGAGCAGCACTCTCTCTCTTTCTCGCGGGGAGGTACCCAGGGTGAGCGGTTCAGGTGTGTAAGGTGTGTGTGTACTTATCCGTGTATCATCGTCATTCTTTGCGACAGGATCTTGAGTTTTTGGTCCTGGTGTTTCTTGGGCTGAGATTATTTCCGGATAGTGGGTGTGGGAGATGCCCGATGCCGCTTGAACGAACAAGCTAACTAGTCTTCCATCCTCCTTAGCTTTGGAAAGGAAATGTGGCTAAGGCAAGACCGAAGTTAACGGTGAAGACGGTGAGCTCGCCCACCTTAGTCTGCCGCTTCTTCTCTCCTTGACGGGTGGCGACGCGAATCCGGACGGTTCACCAGCCACACATGTAGGTGAGTGAGCAGGTGAGCACCTTCAGTCCGCCCGCGGGTTCGGATGGGTTCATCCGGTTTTCCCGGGTTCACCTAGGTCACGGATCTAAGGTGAAGCCAAGGTCAGTCCAGTCCGCGGTTCTTGATGACGTTGCAGTCGTTTATTGGACATTCCTCGTGATGCTTAAGTCATTAGGTCTTTGGAGGATGATGGAAGAGATGAACTGCTGCTACGGCCTACTGCTGACATTCATGGTTTGCGTCTATGATATGCAATGCAGTGTTTAGTTTCGTCCGAGTAGAAGCCAAATGCATCTGCGGGGCGAGATGCTTCTCTTCCCCGGGAGCCGAAGACGCGAGGCTATGAGCATGGCTAAGGCACGACCTACTGTAGGCCAAAGTGAGCAGGTGAGGTCGCAAGTTTCTCTTTACTGGTTGCGTCTAAGGGGAAGCTGCGTGAACAGGAGTTAGGTAGTCCCGCGTCCAAGACGGCACGGCGAGCACATCCTGCGTGATCGGTGACGATGCGCGTGGACCGTTAGACGACATCCGGGGCGAGAACTTCCCTTTCCCTCTCCCCTTGCTTTAGCTCGAACGCATGTTACCTTCACTTCATCACGTCTTCGCCGTGAACCTCGTGGAGACCGGGATGTGACAGGCGGGGGGGGGGGGGGGGGGGGTGGTGGGGGGGGGGGGGGGGGGGGGGTTTTTTGGGGGGGGGGGGGGGGGGGGGGGGCCGGCCCGCCGGAGGGGTCGTCGTCGTCGGAGTCTTCGGCGCCGACGTGCAGCTGGACGAGGTCGCAGTACTCCTCGCCGAGGGTGCG